AACTTAATGCTTCGATGCTTTGGGATCTTGATGAAGAGTCTGATAACTCATAAGAACCACTCAAGCTTCTAGAAGGGAACTGCCTTGATGCTTCGATGCTTCAAACATATCACAGAAACAGTGGATCTATATTTTTATCAGAGTATATCTAGATTTTAGCCAACTCAACACTTCCGAACAACTGGATCGAGTGAAATTTCTTGCCAAAATCTCAGATCTCTCGGCGAAATAGGGGAAAGAAGGGACGAGGCGATTGAAGCAAGTGTTTTGTTACTTGCGGAGGAGCGACGGAGGCGAGATCGAACAAATGTGCGAAGGAAGGTCGACTGCGGGCTTGAGGGTAGCCGAAGGAAAATATGGAGCCCAAACGCGGATCGCGGGGATATACCTGTGATCCGCGTGTAACATAAATTTAAAAAGTTGTTCTCAAAAACGCAGTAAAAACGTGATTTCCAAACGCTACGGCGCCGTTTTCAAAAACGCCGCCGCACATTTAAGCTATCCCAAACGGGCCCTAAATTGAACTCACCCGGACCAAAATACAATAAAATGAAAGCTCCAGAGTTACATATTAAATGTTGAAATGATTACATAAATCATCTTAATAGATGGAATCAATATAAATAGAATCTGAATAAGACCCACAGGGGATTCAACGACTCAAATAAAACCTATGTGGGGGCGTCAAAATGGGAGCTAAGTATTGGAAAAATGCATAATATAAAATCAAAGTCTTCATTCGCCTTATTCACCACTGGATCTGCAACCCCAAATGCATCAGCATACAGAAGGCGAAGTTGAGGCCTCAAATGAAAATATTTGCACCCATCCCTATGATGATATCCCCGTGTAAATAACAATAAAGCCCCTTAAAATTAATCAATAATTATAAACATAAACTAAAATTCATGCATATGCTCGAACCAACATGCTAAATGCTCGATCTCAAGATCTGAGAATGTTGTGTGGGTAACAATGTGTGCCAAATCAAATATTCTCGAAACACATGTTAAGCCATTTAAAAATCAATTCAATTCAATAAAATTAAATGCCCGCATGTGCTCCGACCAACGTGCTGAAAGTTCGATCACAAGTTTCGAGAATGCTGAGTGGATTAAACAAATGCTTAAGCTCAAACTAATATGCCCTGAAATAAGTGTAAAACTATTTCAAGACCTCAACCCAACAAATATAAAATTTCTGCATGTGCTCCGACGTGTCTTATTCAAGCTTATGCATCTGAGAATACTACGTGGGCATTAGGTTGCATTTCCTATAGGGCGAGGACGCAAGTTCCACACTTTGAATAATCCAATCCTCCTTCCTACAAGGACCAGAGTAGACAAGATGAACCCGCACTGAGCTAGTCCAATCCTCATTCTTACGAAAATTGAATTTGACAGGACTGATGCTTTTAATGGTGTAAGTTATAGAATTTCTCCAATGATGATCGTTTTGATAGTAAATCTTAACCGGAAGGGTTTATTTTCAAAATAAAATCTCAAAGTCTAATTTTAAAACTCAACTACCTGGTCCTCTGTAAGCGGGACAAAGTTGACAGAATTAAAAAATAATCATTTCCCAAATGATAGCTGCGTTGATAATAAATCTCAATCAGGGGGTCTATTTTCAAAATCAAATCTCAAAGTATATTTTTAAAACTTAAATAAAAACATATATTATAAACTCGACTTCCTGTAAGCGGGGTAGAGTCGACATGATTCAAAGGCATCATTCCCTGATGATGGTCGTGTTGATCGTAAATTTAAATCGGAGGGGTTCATTTATAAAATTAAAATACTTAAAATCATTAAAAAGATGATATTTATTGACTTGAGCTCACAAAGAACCAACGTCATATCAAGTATATTACTAAATTCATACTCATAATGAATCTTATGCTAGTAGGGACGTAGCCCGAGTCCTATGTCCTGGTGCTTTTACCGCCAAATAGCACCACAAAGAAGCGGTTATGACCAGAGTCCTCAGACCATGTGGTTTTCCACCAAATGACACAATTATATTATGACCATAGTGTTAGCTCGTATGTTCCTCAATGACAGACTGCCCTTTTGAGTATTGAATCATAAGATAGATTTGATATAACAGAAAACCCTCTGTAAGATAAGATAGACTCAGATTAGTCCCTTAAACAATCACCCTAGATCTACAAGGACCCCCTGGACAAAGCAACCTATGGCTGCTGAAAAAAATCCTTCGGTTAAGTTGGATTGACTACCTCAAATGACTAAGTAAACCCAACACCATGATAGCCTGAGATTATGGAACCATGAGACTTTGATCGTGTTCTTCATCATTTCCCCCACCATCTGCTTTGAGCTTACGATGATATTTATTTACAATTTAAATTCTCAAATTTGATGCTATTAAAAAATCCATAGGGACTTGCACCTGTGGGAAATATCGAAACAAAGATCTTAAAATCCTCACAAAATAAGAGTGAAATCTCTAAGTAGTGTCTTCTCTACTATCTCATCTGTCTTCTGAAAATTCGACCTGGAATACACACCGTATTAAGCTCTCGACAAGAGTCTAGGGAGTCTTTTCAAATTTTTGGAGCTTACAATAGCGCAACTCGAAAGAAGATCGCGTTGCTTATCTATTACATGGAACGGGGATGACTTTCTTCACCAGCTTAACACGAAAGAAGATATCATTGCTCGTCAGTTACGCAAGACGGAGATGACTTTCTTTTGCAGCGTATGTGAAAGAAGAACTTGTTGCTCGCCTGCTACGTAAGACTGAGAAGACTTTCTTCTACGACACAACACGAAAGATCCAGTTGCTCGTCTTCTATGCATGACTGGAATGACTTTCTCCTACAACGCAACACAAAGGAAAATCTTGTTGATCTTCTGATATGCAGGACGAAGATGACTTTCTCTAGTCTCACAATGCAAAAGAAGATCTCATTGGGCACTTGTTACGCAGGACGGATGACTTTTTTCTACACCACAACATTAAAGAGGATCTCGTTCATGGCCTGCCATGCAAGATGAGGATGACTTTCTTTTGTGTGACAACACGAAATAGGATCTCGTTGATCGTCAGCTACATACGTCGGGGACGACTTTCTTCTTTTAGAAAACCTCATATCATCTATTGGGTAGAAACGGAGACGCCACCTCCACCATATTTTGGTGTCTACTTACATGCTCAAAAAATTATCCGCATTTATAATAAAATTTAATTTCAGCCATTTAAGAAAAACCAATTTTTTCATTAACTCTCTTGCCCTTCTGGCTTTCCAAGGCCTTCCATCTTCCAATCTCTAGCATTTCATATTCATTAAGAGAGAGAGAGGAAACGATTTTGATTAAAAAAAAAACCTGTCATTTAATGCATAAGTTATATTTAAATGCTTCGAATTCCTATGGACACATTCCCCATTTACGTACTTCGCAAATAAAAAAACTATATATATATATATATATATATATATATGCGCGCGCGCGCTTATTTTATTCATATACCATATATAAAGTAATAGAAATTTAATATAGGGTGCAGATACAAATATAAACCATCAATATTTTCAAGTACAAATATATTATCTTCTTGTATAAGTATAAAAATGATAATATTATACAATATATATATATAAATATACATGTAAATATTTGCATAAATTTCATAAAAAATATAACGCTCCTATTTTGATATTTTCGGACGATAAAAGTGATTTCCGAAAATAAGAAGGCAACTGATACATTGTCAACAAATTCTTTCATCAAACACGAATCTCAAAGCATTACACAAATCTCAAGATAATATTTTGAGAAAGAATCATTCAATTTTTGATCAACTAGAACTCCGATTTCAACAAACATACAATCAAATTGACTATCTCAACGAGACAGATCCAATGGTACTAAAATTGGTCCAATCCAAGTCAATCAAAATCAGATCAAGCCATTAAACCACATTTTGTAGCTTTTCGAGAATATTTGGAAGGTCAAACCAATGTCTTATACAACGAGTTCATAATCGAATAGAGCATCTCTACAACACGAATCCAATGAGCACAAGATCACTCAATTCCAACATTGTTAATGCACTCAAACGTCCATCAAACGCTATTTGTCGAGGATAGCCTTTGAGTCGTCCGATCAATGTGATTTTTATTGCATTAATTGAACCCAAAACTTTATAAATAGAGTCACAACCGTCTCATGAGGGGGGAGGAGAGCTTACGCTTCGAGAATGAGTTGAAGTCTAGCATCACTCATGCCGCCTTAGATCACCGCTGACCGCCGTTGACCACCACCGACCATCATTGACCAACACCTGCAGGCAGCCGTCGCTCGCTGTCAGTCTCCATCCATTCCATGCAACAGTTTCATCTGACATCAATGTTGTAATTCGAGAGGCTTTGTAACTTTTTCCCGCCTGTGGGGCAGAAGGTATCTGGAATCATGAACTTGGTGAATTTTTACAAATTGGTCAAATCCCGTGATTTTTTTTTACGGGTTTTTCATGTAAAAATATCTTGTGTCACTACTGATAGTTTTTTTTTTCTATCGGAGTGTGTGTCGAATCTCCGTACAATGCTAAAACAATGGTCTATTACTCTACTAACGCTGCGAATCTTCTAGCATGCATCAAAAACACCTATGGGAAAATATTAATACAAATTGAAATTTCCTTTCACAATAATTAATTTGCATAGCCGGTCTTACAGCAAATTGTAATAATCTGTATAAAAAATTAAAAAAAAAAAAAAAACGAAGAATCAAAGTTCATGTAATTCAAAGGCTCATTTGCGGCAAAAATGACAAATATAAATTCCAACTGAGGTTTTCCCACAGCGGTTGATGAAGACAACCATTGAGAATCTATCTAAACTGGCTTTTGTTTTTTCTTTGAATGAAATTCAGCGTGGATTTACCTTATTGCTTCAGCAAGCTGAGATCTGACAGGAAAAAGAGCATAGACCATTTCCTTGGAGAAATTAGTTCTACCTCTTCAGGAATCTAAACAACAAAAAAAAATTCAAAAATCAAATACACTTACAGGTGACCAAGAAGAGGTCCATTTCTATCTTGGCCCCAGTGGTGACGCAGACTTACTATATAATATTACACTTGGCAAAAAGAGGGAAAGAAGGCAGGATTATACATGATTAAATACAGTAAGCAGGCAGACAAATGCCTCCTTATAAAATACTTTGCTGGCTTTTTAGGCGTGAAGAAGTTTTCTTCAAACTCTAATGCAGGCCCAACGGCTCACCTGATTGGCTGAACCAGCCTTGACTGATAGATGGCAAAGTATGAGATTGGCGTTGGATAGGTGAGCTTGGTTGTGGAGAATTAGAAAAGGTTTTAAGAAATAAAGCACCTTATGACTCATTCCAACTATCATCATCATCTTCATCACTTCCCACACATGCCTATTCAGAATTAAAAAACTGGATATAATAAAACAAAAATAAGGGCAAATAAGAACAAGTTTATTTTCTAAACATTTCTAACCTGCCGTATTGCATTGGCCTTTTCCAGCATTGCAGCAACCTTCAGGTTTGTTGAAGGAACTTTGACCATGTTTGCCTTTGAAGTTGCTGGCTTTAGGTTGAGGGACTGGCAAAGAAAAATGATAATTAAGCTATAACTGCATCAAAGCAAGAAAAGAAGTTTCTACAATCATTTCCAGCTGACCTTAGTTTTTATCTGTTCAAGCAAATGATTCGTTTCATCTTCCTTCGGTTTTGGCAACGACCGATCAAGTTCTGATACCTTCCTCAACTATAAGAAGGCAATAGAGTCACAATCAAATTCTTATTTCTAGCAGTCAAATAAGTATGCAGAGAAATCACCATTACCGTGCTTTTATCATGGGTGGCGACAGCCTCTATGAGAGGATCTCTTGGTCTGCTTAGAATGGAATGGTATTTTTCATTTGGTTTGTCACCTTCCATATCATTTAGCATGATATCATACATTGTAGATGAATTACCTTCTCTTAGAAACATATGATAAGCGTAAGGAGGAATGCTCTGAACAGCAACTGGAAATGGTGCTGGCAATTTGTGATAATGCATGTTTTCCGCTTCATGAACTCTGTAATCTCTATAACCATACTGATATAGACCATCAGCTGCCGCTGGCATCAACATGAATGAGCTAAAGGGAGGGGATGCACGTATATCTATTGTTGGGGCTTCAAGTGATCTTTCCAACTCTAACCCTGGTAGCAACTTAACCAGGTTTGGTCTCCTTTCTTCTTTAACCTGAGGGTTGCCTTCAGCCAAATGGTCAGGGTGTTGGGGAGTCACGTTCCTGAGCAATGGTGCCATAGTCAAAGGGTTCTCTCCATCCATTGTGATATCACTATGTGAATGCATTCCATCTTCCTCAGCTGGTGCTAGCAAAGAAAAGCCTGAAGAATCAATTTCAAGCTGTTGCCTCTGATGTTCCAATGGGACTACTAGAAACTCGGACAATTTTAAGGACCCTGTCAATTGACCATCTGTGCACGAGGAAGCATTCTGAAAACTCTCTTCGAAAGCTACAGGCGACAAAAAGGGGCCTGCATGCTGATTTGTTCTCTCTTCAGAAGCGGGCAAAGGATTTATATGCATACTGCTACCTGTGATCGACGAAAATATAAATGGATTAGTTTTCGTCAAAGGTTATTATAAAATTGTAATTAGGGCTCCAAGTTGAGTTTTACCCATTCTCCACTGCATAGGAGGAAGTGGTGGTAAGGGAGGCGTTTCTTCAATGCCTTTTTGTATTGGCAAGCTGGAGATTGTTTCGCCTGGATATGCCTTGAGGGTTTCCTGGGAACCAATTGTAGGACTGGGAATGACAAAATCTGCGAGTAGTGGCCCTGAAGCCAAAGCTTCAGAAGCCATAGAGTTCCAAGGCTGTTTGGCAACACCATGAAATGAAACAGATATATTTGTCTCTTTTTGCTCATTTTCACAAATATTTGATGAAAGCATGTTAAGATCATTCTTCCATCCAAGGTTTAGTGAAGTCTCGGGCTCTGGTTCTAGAAGTAAGACATCATGTTCCAAGTTATGCTGACTACTAGCAGGTTCATCCGAGGAAACTTCATCAAAATGTAGATAGGAAGGTTCGAAGTTTTCCAGCACTCTATATATAGGTGCTATACTTGGTTCATCAACTGCTTGGAATACAGAAGCTTTCTCAGATGGGACTTCTTCTGTCCTTTCTGCATCAACATGAGAACACTGCATGGAAGGATCTGAATCTGAATGTTTTTCAGCTTCTATGGAAGATATTAAGCTCGTTTCCATGTAAATATCACCGTGATCAGCATGTATACAGTTGGATAAATCTAGACCTTGTAATGGAGAGCTTGAAACTGTGCCAACATTATCACAAAGAGGCGCAAGCAACTTGCTTTCAAACTTTGAGGTTGTTAAGTCGTTTTCAACAGCTGGCTCTTGAATCTCTGGCTTATTCTGATTCAAGGAAGCATCCTCAATTGAATCCTCTTGAATTTGTACATCAAAGCTGTACAAATTTGAAGATTCTACTAGGTGTAGAATCTGGCCATCAGTCCTAACTTGAGTGACAGTGCTAAATTTTGAGTCAGACTTTGCATCATTCAACTCTTCAGTCACTGGCTTAGGCATACTCAAGACAGCATTCCCAGAAACTGGATCTTCTTGAAACTGTACATCAAAGTTGCATGCACTTGAAGATTTTAAAGGGTAAAGAACATTGACATCAGTATCATCTTCAGTGATAACATTCACAGATCTTGAATCAGAATCTTGCTCATTTTCTCCCGAGCATAAGTTATCCTCCTTAACATCAACTAGTTTAGCTTCAGATGAGTCTGAAAGTTCCAGAGCAGATGACTGACTTTTTGACACTGAATGATAAAACATTTCTATTTCCTTGTTTTCAGTAAATAACAAATATGACTTGCTTTCAGACTGCAACGATGTTGAATCTCTTGTAATGGCTGGCTCTTCCACAGTGGGGTAAGGCTGATGCAGAGTATCATCCTCTAAAAGGAGATCGTCTTGCAAAAGAACATCACAGGTGGCTACTTCTGCAGATTCTAGCATATTTAGAACGTCTTCATTTATGCTATCTTTAGGGATACAATTCTCAGTAAACGAATTATTTTTATTTTCACCAAGCAGCAGCAGTTCATGCTGACCGCTAAGCTTAGCGGAACCATTTGCACATTTCAATTCATCATGGACAATTTCTTCTCCATTTGTCTCCATTAACTGTGATATATCACAATGCAATTGATTTGCATCAGGATGTTCTCTGCAACTAGATGGAAGAGGGTTTAACATAACCCCATTAGAAGACTCCTGCGGCTCATCTACATCAGGAAAATGCTCTGTGTCACATGGAATGGTTGGAAATATCAAGGCATCGCGTCCTAAAATATCAATATTTCCAGAGCTCGATAATAATTGCGCATGCTCAAATTCCTCCTTAGTTACAGAAATATTCCCCATTTCAGCAGCCAAATTTCTAGATTGCAGGACGGAAGAAACAATCTCAAGAGAAAATGAAGAACTTTTTGGAGATAGATTCTCAAAAGAGTAGACTTCATTGTCATTCTCAACTGGATCATGGAAAGCATCTTTAACACAAATGGAACAAACGTCCACAAGAGAACTCTCTGCTTGTATTCGTGGAGGTTGAGGCATCTCCAATGAGTTGGCCAAATCATTAGACCTTTTATGTTCAGTATAACCTGATAATTGACCTATCACTGAGTTATTTCGACTTTCATAAAGCGAGCCTCTTTCATCAGATATGTATGCTATTACATCATTGAAACTTTCAGAGGTTTGAGGAGATATATGAGATAAATTGTTAATATTTTCTACTGAAGGTAGTTTATGTGACTCAGCAGGGAATAGCAGACCAGCGTTTAACTGCTTCCTTTCCTCAACTTCAGCCTCCATGTTTGGGGAAACTTTCATGGTCAAATCTTCAGATTGCATATCAATCTCCGAGTCATTGGACGTAACTTGAGATTCCAGAACAGAAGAACCTACAGGTATAATAGGCAAGGAACTTTCAGATATATAATCATTTTTATCTGAATCCGATACATCTAATGGCTTTTCCGACCCATTATCAAGCAAGTTTGATAAATCTTTGGAAGATTCAGAAGGAGCCTTCTCAGGTATACCATCTTCAGTTTCTGAAAAAGCACTAAGCATATAACTTTTTTTTGTTATATTTAATGAACTTCTGTCTTCACTATATTCTATGGCATTTATTTCTTCAAGAATATCAGTAGGAATATCAGGACATTCTTCACACGTGGGAAACACCACAATATGATTTGTCTTCCAAATACGAAAAGAGGACTCAATGTGTTCATCGATTTCAGGCTTATTCTTTTTACTGCCAGCAATTGCTTCTTCTGAATGTGCAGCAAGTGTTTGTACTTCATCGATGATGGGTTGTAGCTTCAAATCTGAATCTGTTATACAATAACTAGTGAATGCTTCTTTATTTATAGGAACAACCATGGTAGCATTTGGTTGTTTCTGACAGCAAGTTTCATTAGATATCAAGCAAGCTGATGGAACTAATGACATATCTTCACTCGTCCTCTCTAGATTTCCTTTTTCATCATGTTGGAATTCTAAACTAGAAGTTTCTTCAATAACAGTTCTCTCCTTAAGTTGTTGATCAGATAAATTATACAAAATAGTTGACTGTGACAGACTAGGCATTCCATCCTTCACGTTTTCTGAAGTCACTAATGTATCAGAGCTTCCAAAAATAGCTGATATAGAAGATAGAGGTAGAAGTTCAGCTTGTCCATGGATGTTAGGATCTGTTCCCTGAGATGGATCTGTTTTAGCTCTGCTCTCAGAATCTGTTTCCATTTCACATTCCATGGTGTTCAAAGCATCAACATAACTTTCCAGCTCACTTTCAATGTCATCAGACCTGTAACTATCACGATCATCATCTGTTAGGAATCCAGAAACAGGCAAACTGTTGTTCTGCACTGCTAGCTGCAGGGATGGAGAGGTCGTATCAATTTCATCGGAACTACTGTCCAAAGCATGGGCGTCCATTTCATTTCCAAGTCCCACAAGCATTTCTTCTTTAACATTTTGAGATTTTGGATAAAGTTTTGGTGAAACACAAGGTGATATAGAATTAGTTTTTGAAAATTCTGTATGTTCTCTTTCCAGATTCTGCACTTTTCCAGTTACTTCATTATGGGACTGAGAAGAAAATTCTTTTCTGACCAGTAAGGAATCAGTCGGGCCACAAATTAGAAATTCTTGTACATCTGGAGTCCCATCTATAATTTTATTATTTGGGCAACCACATAAAGAGCTTTTAGAATCATTATGGTCAAATGATTCTTCTTTAAGAAAACCTTCCATATAGCTTTTTCTATTGCTTATATCCGAAATTCCCAATTTCCTGTGTTTCAACTTCACAAGCCTCACTGGAAATTTCCCAGTTACTGGTTCAGAAGCTGTAAATTGCAAACTGTATGCAACAAAAAAAAAGCTATTATCAATTTACAAATGAAATGACTGCTCGTTGGTTGCTTTACCACAAAAAAGAAATTATCTCACTGGTCTATAATTGGCATAAAGAAAGACCCAGTTGTCTGACCACTTCTCCAAGGTGATCCTTTCTTCTACAAGAAAATATAAAATCAGTGGTACAGTTGATTATCAATTTCTAAAACAAGTAATTCACAGAACATCTAATTATTGATTTCATGAAAAATTTAGCATGGGCAACAAACCTGCAAACCATCAGAGAATTAAGAGAAAGTATCAAGTCAAGGTTTACACCTTGAGAAATGAATTAATTACCTTGGGTTTTCGTGTTCTCTTCTCTCTTTGTGCCTCTTCCATCATCTCAGAGAAGGCAGATGCCGACTTGAAAAAAGAAGGATTAGAGTATCTCGTCAAGCATGCTCCAGCACCAGCAACATCAAACCTAAAGAAATATGTAAAAACTTATAAGATAACAAAAAAGGAAAAGCATAAGAAAATATATCTTAAAAATGAAGAGCAAGAAGCAGGAAAATCTATGATAGAATAACTAACTTGTCTAGCATGAATAACCGAGGAGGACCACGGCATTCTTCATACGAGTCTAATATAAAACGAGGCATGTCTCCTTGACTGAATAAATTCTGTTCAGCTCTAAGATATGCATGCCAGTCGATACCTAAGAAATCACATATTACAATAACAATATTAGTAGAAGTGAATAGGCAAGCGTTTGTATATGAACAGATTTGAGCTTAAGATTTTTCACCGGCACTGTAAGCCAGATGTGAATGATCAGTTTCAGAGAGAATTGCTTTTTCTATTGATGGAAACTCTGCTTCTAGTTGTAGAACACGCAGCATCAGCCCATGCCCTCTAGAAGAAATGGCCATCACTTCTTCATGTAAGTTATGAAATACCTCTGAAGCAAACCTGTAGCAAAATAGCTATCCTGTAAGTCAGGGAAGACAGCTTTATGGCGGAAATAAAATAAAAAAAAAATCTGCATAATCAAAATAGCACAATAGAAAATATGAAAAAAGGATAACTGGATATGGTAGATAACATAAACATAAACAAAATTCAGTGCAGGTGATTGCTTAAGAATAATGCATAGATGCCCAAGTATCATAAAAGTCAAACGACGCATGAACCTATCTCTTAAGGTAGAATTTACTTATAATTACATAATTTTTAGTATCATAAAACGTTCAAGAGCATTGGGCCAAAAGAAGCAATTAAGACTCGATCATGCAGTACAACCATCTGATGAAATGGAACAATACTTGGAGAGAATGTACTTCATAGAAGGTGCTTTGTGATCCATAATTTTTATGAAGTTGTAAACAGTAAAGCAAAGGCGCATACCAGATCTAATACAGAAAGCAAAGAGTATCAAAGAAGATTATCATCTAAGGCATGACATTTCGTAGGGGGGAGTTGTTTCTATTGCATAAATTTGTAAGTCTACTATATACTCGGAAGAAAAAGCATAAAATGACATTAAAGACAATTCTAGATTAGCATATCTTAAAGAAGATTATCATCTTCAATCATTTGTAAAACTTAAGCAACTCAAATTCCCTTGAAAATGGAGAATCAATGAAGCAGCAGATCATAAAATAGAAAGAACATTAGATCTATTTTGATTCGTGTGGTCACTTATAAGTTAGAGAAATATATCTAATGGTAGAAAATTTGATTCGTGTGCCTTAAGTTCTTTGTTATGATTGGAGCAAAAATTCAAACTCCCCCTTCAACTGGATGACAAAGATCTGTCATTGTCGGCGTTTAAAAGGGGGAAGTTGCGTTTGGGGGTCGCCCGTAAGAAGCTGTCGGCCGCCGGAATCGAAATCCCGTCGCCCGCTTCGGAAGGACTTTTTTTTAATTTACATATATATATATAATTTTAGAAAAATATGAAATCAAACTGACCTCATATTTTCCATAGTTTAAATGAAAGAGCACTCAACCTCAAACCCTGTATCTACCCCGAGGGATAAACACAAGACTTGAGGGTGAGGCTCGATCAAATAAACTAAGAAAGATATGACATCCGTTTGGGTCTGCGAAACCGTTTTATTTGCCGACAAGTTCCCCTATTTAATACAAATAATTAAATAGGGTTTATTTTAAGCTGGGTTCGGAAAAGCTCCCTATAAGGGCAAGCCCCTATAGTTAATTACATCTTAAATGACCGAAGTCACCTAAGAAAACTATCGATAAAAATCAGGGGATAATGTCTTCAAAGAGGTCAAAAGGATAGGACTTTACAACGAAATCAGACGAAAAAGGTGTGAAGCTCCCTATAAGAGCAAGCCCCTATAGTTAATTACATCTCAAATGACCGAAGTCACCTAAGAAAACTCTCGATAAAAATCAGGGGATAATGTCTTCAAAGAGGTCAAAAGGATA